CGAGATGGCCGTATGCTGGGTCGATGGGCCGCGGTCGGAGGTGAGAGAGCACAACTCGGCTTCCAATTTGCTCAGAAGGTCTGCCATGCTTCCCGCCAGTCCCGATCCTGAAAGAGACGATGCTCGTGAAGCATTCTGCGACTGCTTCGCCTAAGCCTCCAGTCTGTCCAAACGACCCCGGAGCAGAGTGGAATCATGTTCGACTGCCTTGAACTGCTCGGTGCACTGCTGCTTCAGTGCGGTCACCTCGTGGCTCACGCTGGCGACCTAGGGCTGCAGCTTCTGGTCCATCAGGCCAGCGATCGCTGCCAATGTGACTTCACCTGGTTTTTGTTGCTGTGGGGGCACCGCTGCTTGCAAATATGCTTCCGTCGGTGTCGTAGGAGTTGCCATGGCGTGCACCTCCAGTCGGGGTGGGGAAAGGTCGAGACCGTCCATCTCGTAAAGTGGGCCGAACAAGCGTTGGCGAACGTCGCGCTCCAGTACTCCTCGGACTGGAGTCCCTGACGCTCTCGTACTGGCCATCGTGAGGGATGGGAAAGAAGACGGGAAAGGTAGCGTGGTGTAAGAGTAGCAGGTTCGGCCCAGCGACGGGTAAATGCTGCGACTAGCTCCGAATACGCTGGTCGTTGAAAGTAGTATTTTTAGATTCTGGGATCCTAGTCTACTTTTGGCGCCTTCCTACTTTTACGGATCGGGCTACTTTTCCTTTTCCCTCCTTGCTGCTTTGCTCTTCCCTCCTCTTCAGGGGACGGGTGGAAGCCCAACCTACCTCCATTGCCTTCTATTTTACGTCTCTACCTACTTCTTCCGACCGACGGGTATCTCTGATTGTGCCTCTGCACAGCATGCTCATGAAAGAACAACTTCTCGGCTTTTCCCTGATGGAGAGTCAGTCGATGGCCGTGGACATCATCGGAAAGCCATAGTCACGCTGATCCGCGCAGCGGCGGAGTCCGATTCCGCGAGTCACTTGGACCTTGATCAATGTTATCCGCGCGCTCCTGAGACAGGATTCCGAGTGATCAGTTTGTCTGTGGAGGTGGAATGAACGTATGTGGAATTTCATTTCCTGGTGCTGTGAAAGGCATCCACTGGAACCAGCTTCCCATCGACAAATTGACGGGGGCCCCGCAAGGTCTGACCAAACCTCAATGTCACATCGATGCGAGTTCGAGCGCGCCGATACGCTCTAGGACGTATTCCGCGATGAAGATCAATAGTTAGCGCGATAATGGCAGCATCGGCGGCGATTTCGCGCTCCATGTGCGAGGTTGACCGAGATATCGCCCGGGTCGGTGATCGCAATGATTCGAGCCTCTTGGAGGGTAACCGGAGTTGTTGACAGGGATTCTCCGTGTCAGCGAGTTTCCCTGTAATGTCAAGAGGACAGGCAAGACGGCGAGAAGTGACGCTCAGCCTCGATGCAGCGGCATCGAGATGCTGTCCCGAGGTCCCCGACAACCGCCTTGCGGCGAGCTCGGCAGCGACGCTGCAGCGCGGCCTTTTATGGGCCTCTCGGAAGCTTCCTTCGGGGCCAGGATGCCTGCCTGACTGTACGGGGCGCGGTTCGAGCTTACGACTCGCTTCTGGCTCGGTCGAGCATTCAAGTTTGACAAGCTCTGGCAATCAATAAGTGATGCCGAAGTACTTCTTAGCGCTTCGAGTATCCTCACCAGCCCATCCAGAAACTGCGCCGGAGATTTCGGCAGGAAAACGTTTGAACAAGCTTGAACTTAGAGACCGTTGAGAGCCTCCTCGAGGCCTCTTGAAACCACATCGGAGCTCTCTTCGGGCTCTTTTTGGGGAACTTTCGGAGCCTTTTGGGAGGTTTCTTGGGGGCCTTTGGGGCTCTCTCGAGCTTTCCTGGAGGCCCTCGATCCGAAAAGAGGGCGGCGTCAACTAGCCTCTCCCCCGTCGGAGCCCGAAGCATCGCCTCTTGGGGTGCTCTTGGGGCCGTCTTGGAGCCCCTTCGAGAGCCGCTATTTTGGGCTCTCTTGGGCCTTCTTGGAGCCATCTGGAGATTTCAGAAACCAATCGGAAGCACAGTGGCGAGACGACAACACACATTGAAGCTCGGGGGCGATCCTGGGAGACTCCGAGGCTACTCGGAGCCGTTTCGTGGTGGTCTTGGGGCCTTCTGGAGGCATGCTGGAAGTCATCTTGGCCCATCTTGACCCATCTTGTGCACATCTGGATGCCGTCCCTGCGCAATATGATGCCGTCCTGGAGCCAAGCCAGACAAGAAACTCTGGCACTTCGCCCGCTCTCCCCGGCCACACCGAGGGGAGGGGCTTAACCTAACAAGGCGTGTGGACCCCTTCCGTCGACGGGCGGCCACTAAGCCGGAGTGGGGTAGGCACCAAGACGGACAAAGACGCTGCAAGGACGTTCGTAGCATGCCAGAGAAGGCCAGATCAGACGATGCAGGACAAGATACGACAACCGAATACCATATCTCAGAAGACACTCTAAGATAGTCTCCAGGTCGACCACATATTGCCCCTAAACGCCGCCAAGATGCTCCCGAGAGGCCAACATCATTTTTTTGGTGGGTGAACCAGTGTTCTTGCCTTCGGCGTTTTTTGCTCCCGAAGGACTATTGAGGGTTCCAGGTGGCTCCAAGAGAGCCTCAGAGTCGGGCTGAACTAGGCCCCAAGCACGAAATTTTGGCATGTTCCGGGTAGCTTAGTTGCTTTTGCCATGTCGTGGCGGCGCGCGTCGTCATGTTGGGGGGTGTTTTTTGCGATGCCACGGCGCGAGAGCCATGTCGGTCGGCGCGACTCTGGGCTGTGCGCGGGGGCGTCTCTCGGGGCCGCGTTGATGGCCATCCAGACGTTTTACCTGGAAGCCATTGGCCAACATTTCGCGCGCGGATTGAGCTTCCCATCGGTACCGCCCAAGTTGCCAGGATTAGGTTGCAGGGGGGCCTCGGGCCCAATAAATCAGGAGCAATGGGCCCACTCGACGGCCCGGGAGTCTCGGGTCTGTGGCTCCAGGGCCCTTGACCATAAGGCCCTGTAGACCGCGGCCCTTGCCTATGGTGCCCCACGAGTCGTGGGCTCCTTCCCTGCGAGGCCTCGGAAGTCCCGCTCCCTTCGCCGCGGGGCACCGGAGTCGGCCCCCGACCCCAGGGGGCCATGCCGAATGGGGCCGTGAGCGTGCGCCACGGGAACCCGCGCGCCCCGAGCGAAGGTCCACCAGAGCCGGGGGCCCTCGACCGAAGAGCCCGGGAAGCTGTGGGCCCTGGGCTCGCGGGCGGCCGCCCGCGCGAGCCGCACGACCCACCCCGAAGGTGCTGGCGAAACGTCGCCGAATCGGCAGCGATTCGGCGGTCGTTGTGAGCTGTCTTGTCTTCGAGCCGAAGTGTTTTGGATCTGGAGGGCGAGCTGGGCGTCCAGGACTATCGCTCCGAGCGACACTCGGGTCGTCGAGGGGTAATGTTCAGAGGCAGGTGACCGGCCGCCGAAGGCAGACGTCGGAGGTGGGATCTGGCCACATGGGGCGCCCTCAGGAGCTTCTCAGGCGCCTCCTGGGAGATTTCCAGAAGCTCCCGAGGAGCCTCGCAGGCGTTCCTCTCGGGAACCTCCCAGAGACTTCTCAGGAGCCTCCCAGGGGGCCTCAGGAGCTTTTCCGCGAGCCCTCAGGGCTGTTCGCAGGAGCTCCACTGGAGCCTCTTTGAAGGAGCGTTTCGGGGGCCTCTCATTAGGGTTTCGGGAACTCGCAAGAATGTTTTCATGATGTTCCCAGGGCCAATCAGGAGTTCATGGGCACATGTCCGTACCCTACTGCGACTTTCTCAATAGCCTTCCAGGGGCCTCACAGGATTCTCTCTCTCTCTCTCTCTCTCTCCAAAGCCTCCCAGAAGCTTCGCAGGAACCTCTCAGGTAGTTATCAGGAGCCTTTTCAGGAGCTTGTTCTATGGACCCTCTTAGGATCCCGTCAGAACCCCCTTGCGAGCCTCTCGTCGTTGTCATCGTATTCGTCGTCATCGTGTTCGTTGTCGTTGTCGTCATCAACGTCGTTTTCTATATCGTGTCCGCGCAGGGAACTGCTATGATAATGCGTCCCCAGCGCATGGTCCTGCAATGGCGCGTTCGGTTCTCGTCTTTCATATTTCAGATGGTGCGCGATTCGCAGGAGTGGCCCAAGACGGCCTCAGTGGCTTTCAGGAGGAACCCACGAGAGCCGCGTGAGGGCCCCACGGGATCTCCAAGACCGTCCACATGCCGGACTCGTCAGCATTGTCCAGCGTCCTCGGCGCATCACTGGCCCAATGACTGCCCCATGAGGTTCCGAAGAAGGCGTCCAAAACGCTTCCGAGATACCCCCAATAAGTTCCCAGAACGGCTTCACCTAGTCCCACTCGACGAATTAGATACACTTCCATAGTTCGCCAAGGGGCCCCCAAGAACCCCCCTGGGACCCCCAGAGGCCCCAACGAGGTCCCAAGGCCCTCTCCCCCCAAAGGGCTCCAAGGTTGGCCCCTGGCTCGTCCCTGCGTGGTTGTGGGAGGGGAAAAACCTTCAATTTGGGGTAGGGGAAATGGGCGCCCCACCCCAAAGGGGAAAGAGGGATTGGAAAAGAGACCTTCCAAGCCACTTACGCCCAGGCTGGTGGGATTATCAGCGGCTTCGACCGCCTTGGGTGCAGTCGAGAGTTTGATCTGTTGATTTTGGGAACGACTCCGACTGGCTGTGCCAATGTACGGATGCCACTGTCCAGTGTGGAGCGCAGTGCTGACACCCGTACACCTCGGTGTCATGTGGTATTTGGATCAATTGACGTCTACGACGGCCGTCGTTTGTATATCATCCACTTTTTCGTTGCCGCCTGCTGCTTCTGCAGCTCCTGTGCCATCATCTTCTATTCCCCCTTCTTGCCTGCCTTGTCCCCGTCCCCGTCCAAGTCCTCGTCGCCATCAGCATCGCCGTCATTCGCCTCTTGCCTCTTTTGAGCTTCCCCTGACGATGGTATTCCCAGGTATCAGCTGAGCAACGATGGCTCGAAGATCAGAGCCTATGAGAAGAAAGAGAGGACCACCGCTCGCTTCCCCCTCCCTCGCCCCTCTTCCCTTCCCTCACCTGCCCTCGAAATTATTCAGTATGAGGGTTACTATCCTTTCTCCCTTGACCACATCCTGGAGGCCCGCCCTCTCCGTGCATGGCTGAGTGGGAGGGGTACGATGTCAGACATGGCGCGAGCGCACCGAGCTTGCCTCTCCCTCTTTTCCCTCCCCGTCTTTCCCGTGCCCCTCATCCCTTTCCCTGACCCCGGAAGGGGAGAGGGAGCAAGGGTGAAGGTCACGGGGAGGGGAATGTGAGGGAGAACTGAGATAGGTAGTGGAGAGACGACGTGGGAAGGGGGCCCACAGGGGAAGGGGAGGGTACGCATCGCAGATGCAGTATCATAACCCTCAACGGTTGGGTTCGTGGGTTGGTGGTGGCGTCCAAATTCTAGACGCTTCCCGTACCCTCACCAGCCTGGTGCTTCCGACGCCCTGCATACTTGCACGCTGACAGTTCGACTCAGTCTCAGTCGCCCCTGCCACCCGCCCGCCGCTGGGTCGCCGCGTGAGGCCTCGGCTAGCTGCGTTAGACGTGGCCTGCCCCCGCTGCCTTCGCTTAATTCGTCGCTGCGTAGCCCGCTTTGACCTGACTCGCCGCCGGCGCGCTCGCCCGCGGCCGCTGACTAAAAAGTATCCTCACCAGCTTCCTCGCGTTTCTGGTGCCTTTCGTCGCCTTCGCGCCATTTTGGCCGCCTGAGTTCCGCCCCGCACCAGGCGTTGCTCGTTGCTTGTTTTCCGCAGCAGGTGGTATACCCTGCCCCTGCTAGCCCAGCGTTCGACCCGTTTCGCGCGCCCGCGTACCAAAAAGTATCCCCACCAGCCGATCCAGAAATTATGTCCAGGCGAGTTGAGGTGAACAGGGAAGTGCGGGAGCAAAGAGGGGGACGGCCGAACCGTGCGAAGGAGGGAGGAGAAGAAGGAGGAGGCCGGACGGATGGATGAGGGAGTGGAGATAAGGAGGATGAACAGGACGATGACGATGATGATGAGGGTGGTAATGATGATGGTGATGATGATGATGATGGTGATGATGATGATGATGACGATGGTGAGGATGATGTTGCTGATGCTGATGCTGATGCTGATGATGGTGATGATGATGATGCTGATGATGATGCCGATGCTGATGCTGATGCTGATGATGATGATGATGACGATGACGATGACGATGACGATGATGATGATGATGATGATGATGATGATGATGCTGATGATGGGATGATGATGATGATGCTGATGATGATGCTGATGATGATGATGATGATGATGATGATGATGATGATGATGATGATGATGATGATGATGATGATGAGGAGGAGGAGGAGGAGGAGGAGGAGGAGGATGATGATGGGCAGGAGGAGGAGGAGAAAGAGTAGGATGAGGAAGGAGGAGCAGGAGGAGGAGGGCAAGCAAAAGGGCCAGGTGTCTCTTGGATGCTTCTGGGAGCGTCTTGGGATATCTCTTGGGCGCTTCTTGGAGGCCTCTTGGGACGTCTTGGGGATCTCTTGGCGGTCCTGAGGGCTCTTGGGCGCGTCTTGGGTGCCTCGGGGGGGCCTCTTGGGGCCGCTTGGGGTCCTCTTGGGGGCCTCCTGGATGCCTCTTGGGGGCCTCTTGGGCCACCTTGGGGCCATCTTGGGGCCATCTTGGGGCCTCTTGGGGCACTCCTGGGCGCTTCTTGGGCCATCTTGGAGGACATCGATCAAACAAGAGGGGAGCTCCAATTAGCGCACCCCTCTCGGGAGCCCCAACATCGTCTCTTGGGGCGCTCTTGGTGCGCTCTTGTATTGCTCTTGTATTGCTCTTATTGCTCTTGGGCGCTCTTGGGGCCGTCTTGGGGCTCTCTTGGGCCTCTCTTGGGGCCCTGTTGGCCTATTTTGCAGTTGTCTTGAAGCCTCGGACGGTCATCAGAAGCGAAAAGGCGAGAACGCAAACCACATCGATTTCCCTTAGCTTTGGGGAGGATTTTGGCCTCTTCGGGGCTTCCTTGGGGAACTATTTGGCCACTTGGAGCCGTCTTGGAACTTGTTTGGATCATCTTTGAGCATGGTGGAAGCCTTCTTGAGGCATCTTTCGCTATCTTGATCCATCTTGGAGGCCATCTTGGGCTCTGTGAGGCCCTCTTGGAGCCGTTTTGGCCATGTTGGACGCCCCGACCGCTCGCGAACTCCCCCGTCCAGGTCCAGGGGAGGGGGCCGTAGGGGGAGGGGTCAAGCTACCCACCCGTCCGCAAGCCGTTTAGCTCACTCCCACCCGCCCTCCCAACACATAAGTAACACGCGAACTTGAGCAGGTTCAGCGGTCGTTTTTGGATGGGCAGCTACTGGGCACCAACGCCGACCCCGGGTGCGCGACGCTTGGGCGAGGTGCGCCACGCGTGCCAGGGGTACCACGCGCGTCAGGCACCCCTTGGGCCCGAGCGTGCCAGGCACGCCTGGTGCGCCAGATGCTCCACGTGCTCTGCGTGCGCCAGGTGTGCCGCACACTCCAGCCGCGCCAGGTGCGCCACGTTCGGGGCACGTGCAGAGTGCGTCAGTTGCGCCTGCGCGCGTGACAGAACACATCGGGAAACATGTCGGCCCCCACCATCCTTGTCGAAAACCAATGCTCATCATGTTGTCTTGTGGGTCTGCGCACAGCAGGCCACGCGCCACCACCCCGCGGTCCCTTTCAACAACCATTTGACTGTGATCGCGGCGGGATGGCCGCGCATGATCCAGATTTAGCCGCGAGGTGCATGTTGTATTGTTTTTTTCTCAGGGGTGGTAGCCCTGCGCGCAGCAGGGAATATGTTCACCCCCGCCGTCCTTGTCAAACACAATGCAAAGTGTTCGCGGGCCTCACGAACACGATTCAAGACTTTGCCCCGAAGTGTACTTTGTATTGTTTTTTGACGGGGACGGTGTGGGGGACCACATCGGGTTGGCCGCGTGTACTCAAATTGTGGACGCAATAGTGCGGCTTGTATTTTTTTGACGGATGGTGGTGGGCGGGTCGCCATGGTGTCGTCATTTTTCCTGGTTGGGGGCCGCTCGCCTGGGGGAGGGGGTGTATATGAATAAGAAGATGGACCCCTGCCCGAAGAGGAATAATTTGGGTGGACGAGGAAACGGCCTAGACCACCTACGCCCAGAGGGCTGGTGGGATCTTTTTCACGCGACGCAGCGCATCTGAGCATGCGGCCGTAAAGATGACATCAGTGGTGGATGGATGCGAGCGGGGTCCTCGTGAATGGGAAGCACGGCGGTGGGCACGAGAGGTCATCGGAGGGGAGGGAGCCTCTTGGAGCCTGGGTTTCCTGGACTCTTCTGATGCTTCCTGTGGCCTCCCTCCTGGGCGCTTCCTGGAGATGCCCCGGGGGAGAGGAGGGCCAAGGTGAGAATGGGGAGGGGAGGGTGCGGGGATCTGAGGGCATGGGGTAGAGCGGGAGAGGGGTGGGGAAGGGAACGTGTGAGAGTGTTTCTTTTGATGGGGAGTGAGTAGGAGAGAGAGGGAGAGGGAAGAGGGTTATACTAGGGAAATACACAGCTTGGGGGAGAGAGGGACCTGGGGATGACAGGACAGCTTAGGGATATGTTTGGCCAAATGGGGAGGGAGGGGTGCGAGAAAGGCAGTTACACGATGAGACGAGAGTCGAGGGAGGTTGGGTTAGGAGGGAAGGGGGGGACGAGGAGGGGGTAGGACGATTATGGGCAGCGACGAGGAGAATCGGGATGGGCTCCGGCGAAAAGCGGAGTGTGCCGCCCCGAGCCTTCAGGAAAGCGCTCGTGGACAGCGCGGAAGCGCCGAAAGAGGGCCCGTCCGCGCCCGCGCCGCCCCCCCCCCAGCTTCCCCATCCTCCTCCTCCTCCTCCTCCTTCTCCTCCCTGCTGCTCCTCCTCCTCCTCCTCCTGCTCCTGCTCCTCCTTCTCCTCTTCGTCCTGCTGCTGCTGCTGCTGCTGCTGCTGCTGCTCCTCCTCCTCCTCCTCCTCCTCCCTCTCCTCCTCCTCCTCCTCCTCCTCCTCCTCCTCCTCCTCCTCCTCCTCCTCCATTCCTTCTCCTTATAGATAAGTTCTCCCTGTCGCACCCCGAGGCCAGTTTTTTAGTGCGGGCTGGGCGTTTCGCCTGAGACGTTCTTATCATTTATGACTCTGAAGCTTAAGCAGTGTCACCAGTTTCGCGGATGGAGGACGGGTCGTTTTCAAAATGTGGTTCTCGCTTTAGCGCCGCGCACATTCGTTTTCAACATATACAAGAGTTTCGCGGATAGAGAGCGGGTGGTTTTCAAACTGTGGCTTTCGCATTAGCGCCGCGCGCATTCGTTTTAAAGAGTTAGAGGAGTTTCACGGATTGAGGGTGGGCGGTTTGCAAACTGTGGTTCTCGCCTTAACGCCGCGCACATTCGTTTCAATATTTGCAAGAGTTTCACGGATTGAGGGTGGGTGGTTTTCAAACTGTGGCTTTCGCCTTAGCGTCGCACACATTTGTTTTCAAAATTTGCAACAGCTTCGCGGATCGAGGGCGGGTTGTTTTCAAACTGTGGCTCTCGCCTTAGCGCCGTGCGCATTTTTTGTTCAGACATTGTAAGTTGGAGGGCGGGCCGTTTTCAAACTGTGGATCTCGCCTTAGCGCCGCGCGCATTCGCTTTAACCATGTGCGAGAGTTTCACGGATTGAGGGCGGTTCCTGTCCAAAATGTGGCTCTCGCCTTAGCGCCTCGCGCATTCGTTTTCAACATTTGCAAGACTTTCACGGGCACGGGTTCCAATGGTCAACGGACGGATTCAGGATTATGCGGGTTCAACAGTTATTTTGATTCGCTGTGCTGAAGTCCCAACAATGGCGTTTTGGTACGATTCTGGATCGTCAAGACGCAGCAGTCAGGTTGATACGTGGCGTTGAAATCCCGAGAACAATGTTGTGGCATGCTTTAGGATCTTCAAACGGTTGTCTTCCAACGAGGCAGTTCCCTCAATGGGAATGAATTGTTGTAGGGGGCCGACATCGTTGATGACTTTTGGGTTTGCACTAGTCCTCCTCCTCCTCCTCCTCCTTCTCCTCCTCTTTCTCATCCTCCCCCTCCTCCTCCTTCTCCTCCTCCCCCCCCTCCTCACCCCTCCTCCTCCTCCTCCTCCTCCTCCTCCTCCTCCTCCTCCTCCTCTTCCTCCTCCCCCTCCTCCTCTCCTCCTCCTCCTCCTCCTCGTCCTCCTCCTCCTCCTCCTCCTCCTCCCTCCTCCTCCTCTCCCCCTCCTTTTCCTCTTTTCCTCCTCCTGCTCCTCCTTCTCTCCTCCTCCTACCCCTCCTGCTCCTCCTTCTCCTCCTCCTCCTCCTCCTCCTCCTTTCCTCCTCCCTCCCCCTCCTTCTCCTTCTCCTCCTTCTCCTCCTCCTCTCCTCCTCCTCCTCCTCCTCCTCCCTCCTCCTCCTCTCCTCCTCCCCCTCCTCCGTCCTCCCCCTCCTCCGTCCTCCTCCTCCTCCTCCTCCTCCTCCTCCTCCTCCTCCTCCTCCTCCTCCTCCTCCCCCTCCCCGTTGTGCCGGTCCATTGCATCACGTATTGTGCACGTTGTGGCTTCTTTACCTCGACTTTGAATGGCGGCGATGCCCGCCATTTGCGTCGTCCGTGTCGGGGTGAGAGTCGTAGTGGCAATGAAAATCTCAGTCGCATTCGGAGGGGTCTGTTTCCCCGATGCGAAGCCCGCCTGGGGGCACCCTCCGAGTCCAGGAAAGCCTCCTTGCTGCCGCCGCACGCAGCGGGCAGGCTTCGGAGGTCGCGGTGGGAGCTCTCGAACCGAGCCCGAGCCTGCACCAGTCCCCAAGAGGGTCCTGCAGCTGAGGCTTGGGGAGCGAGGGCCACGCATGGGGCTTCGGTGCCTGCGTGGTGCTCGTTCCCCTCGCCTGGGGTGCGGGGTCCGATTGGGCCTCTGGTTAAACTAAACGTTGTTCCTCCTCCTCCTCCTCCTCCTCCTCCTCCTCCTCCTCCTCCTCCTCCTCCTCCTCCCCCTCCTCCTCCTCCCCGCGCCGAGGGCGCCGCGCGCCCTCCCGCCCCGCGCCCTCGGCCTCGCGCCTCCCGCCCTCCGCCCGCCCCCATGCTAAGATCCACCCGAAGGGATCAGCCGTGTCAGACGCAAGCCCGGGGCAGGGCTGCGGGGGGAGAGGCGCGGGGAGGGGGCGAGGAGGTGCCGAGCGGCCAGTGCCGACGGTGCAGGCGAGGCAAGGCGAGGCGCAGGGGCGGCAGCAGAGGCGGGCCCGCAAGGGGCGAGTGGCAAGGCATGGCAGGAAGCGCAGGTGCAGCAGACAGATACACGAGAACCACACACATCACCTGCGGTCCGCCGCCTGCCGCTCGCTTTCGCCTCGTTCCTTGCGCGTCGTGCCTCGTTCTGTGTTACCTCTGCCTCCTGCCTCGCAATTTGTCGGTCTGCCTCCCGCCTCCGCTTCCGTCTCCGTCTCTCTCTCTCTCTCTCTCCCTTCTTCCGTCTCTTCATCCTCTCCACATCTACTCTAGCAGGTGTCTCGGGCTTGTGCTTGTGCTCCAGTTTTACTCTAGGCCTCACGTTGCTGGGGTTTTGCCACCGCCGCCACTTTCCTCGAGCGGCGCGGCGCGGGTCCCCATTGTTTGGAGCTCACTTCTGGGGATCCCCTATAGCTTGCACTCAAGGGGGGGGGGGCAAAGGTTCGCAGGTCCCACAAAATGGTAGTACTTCATGAGCCCCTCAGTTTATGGTGCTGTAGCGAGTGCGACTTTTTTTATAGGATTGGGCTTCTCAATCTCTTGCACAGGTTTTTAGTCTCGAGCACGCGGATGGAATATTTGCGCTGTGCCGTATTGCTCTGGGGCTTTGGCCGAAGGCTCTGGCCCGATCTCCACAGGCATCGAGAGCTCCGAGGCAGCTCCTGTGCACGACACTCCCCTCGGGCCACCCCGTCCCGTGCTCTCTCTCCCGTGCCCGGGCGGCCGGGAACACGAGCGCGAACACGCTGGAGCGGAAGACGCCCGATCTCGGCGCCATGGCGCCCCCGCCGTGCTCCTGGAGGCGCCCTCCTCCGTGACCTCCCGGCGCTCGCCTCGCCTCGCCCTCCGCGCGCTCGGGCCGCCCGCCCTCGCGCAGCCGGGGCTGGCCCCTCGCACGCCCTCGGGCACTCGTCGCGGGCCGCGCGGGGCGCAGAGCCCCTGGGCGTTGCTCGGCGGCGAGCGAGGGGGGGAAGGTGAGAGTGGGCAGGCCTTCTCAGAAGGCTCGGAAGTCCCCTGCCCTTGTGAGAAATTTGCTAGGCCTTTCCCGAGGACAGGCAAGGCAACCTCTCAGAAGGCGCGAGGACTTCTGAGAAGCTCCGCCGCCTTCTGGGTCCATCCGACGCGGCTCTTCACCCCGCATCGAGTTTCGGGGGCCCCGGGGCCCGAAAGCGGCCCTCAGAGGCCGCAAAACTGTGGAAAACCTTCCGAGCCTCGAACCTCCAAGTTCGAACCTCGCACTTCCCCCCTCGCTCGCCGCCGAGCGGCCGCCCTGCCAGAACGCCGCGGCCGGGCCTGCGCCGGGCGCGGGTGTCGCGCAGGCCTTCGGCCAAGCGGGGCTGCGGCCTTCGGCCGGTCGCAGCCGCAGGCCTGCGCGTCGGCTGCGGCGTGCCGTGCCCAGCGGCGGCCGCTCCGCGCGGCCGGGCTTTCGGACGAGGGCGCTCGCGCTCTCGCGCCGTCGAAGATCCTCATCCCTCCATCCCTCCATCCCACCTCCTCCCCTCCTCCCTCCCGTCTGCCCTCCTCCCTCCTCTGTCGTCCCCTCTCGCTGCCCCTTCTCCTGCCGCTCCTCCTCCTCCTCCCCATCCTCTTCCAGCCTCTCTCTTTGTTCTTGCGGAGGCTGTGTCTCGTCTTGTTTAGGCTTTGTTCTGGACCCCTTATCTGAGGATCTAGACCCTTGGGTGGAAACATCTAGCCAGTATCCTTCCTTCCTCATCCAACCCCTCCTGTTCCCCCGCTACCCTTGCTTCTGCTGCCGGTGTTTCTGCTATTCCCCCCTTTCCTCTCTGCTGCTGCGGCCCCAGTGCTCCGCCCTCCATCCAGCTTCTCCTCCTCCTCCTCCTCCTCCTCCTCCTCCCTCCCTCCCTCCCTCCCTCCCTCCCTCCCTCCCTCCCTCCCTCCCTCCCCCTGTAGCACCCATCATAATCTTTAGATTGTCCCTCAGCCTCGCGCGCTGTCCCCTGCACACCCCTGCGGCGCGAGGATGATCGCGCCTTGCGCTCCGTGGTCTTAGCGTCGCGACTTGTACACCACCTTGGCCCCTGGGATCTGCTGACCCGTGTCCCGGATGTCGTTCGCCACCCCATGCTCGTTCTGTGGATGGTCCAGGGCCTGCCGCGGCCCCCCGGGGCCCAGACGGAGGAGCGCCAGCCGTCGTGATTCTCCGGGACCCACGCCCGCCCCCAGAGAGCCCAGAGAGCCGCGCCCGCGCAGGCGCGGGGATGCGAGCCGAGGCCACGGAGTTCGTCCCGAACACGCCGGGCACCCCAAGCGGCGCGGGCATGGCCGCGATGGGCTACCCTTGGCGAGCCCGCGCCCGCGCGCGCGCCGCGCCCTGGCAGTACAGCTCGCAGCGCCTCTCGCAGCAGACGTCACAAGCAAGCAGCGAATGGGTGCCGCATCACGCAGTCAAGATACTGAAATAGAATGATACCGGAGAAAAGCCCCAATCATAATCTTTTTAGGACTCGATGGGGCTATACGGCTATAGGGCTATAGGGCTATAGGGCTATAGGGCTCCAGGGCTATAGGACTCCAGGGCTATAGGGCTATAGGGCTATAGGGCTATAGGGCTGCAGGGCTATTAGAGCTATAGAGCTATAGGGCTACAGGGCTATAGGGCCACAGGGCTACAGGGCTACAGGGCTATAGGCTATAAGGCTATAAGGCTATATGGCTATAGGGCTACCGGGCACCTGGGCACCTGGGCACCTAGGCACCCGGGCACCCGGGCACCCAGGCACCCGGGCAACCGGGCACCCGGGCAACCGGGCACCCTGGCACCCGGGCGTACCGCCGAAATCGGCGCCGTATTTCACCTAACCATATGAATCCGCTAGGACCCCTATATACGCAAGCTCTGATTGGGGAATAAGGAACAGTTTGGGTTCGGAAGGGGCTCGATGTTCCTTAGGTCCTTCCGTGGTTGTTCCTCTACTTAGCGTTCCTCGTGCACCCAGGCGCTGCTGGCGCCAAAAAGAGGCTTCGCTCCTAATTTACCGTTCCTTCAATCAGCAGGCCGAGTGTACCTCCCCCTCCCCCATGATTATGGTTGGCGGGGGATCCGATTTGAACTCCGCCGCGGTCGTCCCCCGACGCGCCAACTCTGCATCTCGGTGGAGAGGGGTGCGTTCCCTCAGTGTTTCGGCTCTCCGACGAAGCCCAGCAAGAGGGACATTCGTCGGCACGCGCTTGCCACTTGCCATGTTGTTATGATCGATCTCGGCGTTCTGGCTGGTGCATCGGCGCTCTAGGGGGATAGAGACTTTTTTACCATCGCAGCACCGTAGAACAATCGATCGGATGTCTAGCGTCGGGCCCGTCCGAAAACCTACCGTAGACACGGCGCAACCTCGAGAAAGCGCAGAGCGACGAGGCAGAGGGCCAGAGGAGCGAGCACGCACGCGGGACCTATAGCCCCGCGCTCGAGCACCCCCTCCTCTGAGGGGATGGCACAACGAGAGCTGCCGCCTAAACTCCCTCTGGTGTAAAGGCGGGCCCTCATCAAAGAAAACAACTGAGCTAGCCTCCCTCGGGGCCTGGCCCACGAACTTTGAAGTAGTTTCGCAGGTCTACTGTAGAAGACTGGGATCTGCTGGGGCCTGCACGGGGTCTCATTTCTTCTTCGGGCGCTTCAGCAATCCGTTGAACAATCCGTTGAACCCGTCCACGCCTCCCTTGAATATCGACTTCTCGAGCTCTTTGGCCTTCTTGGACCGTGGAGCTTCGTCGTCCTCCGAAATCAAACTCACATACTTCCGCACCCCGTTGTCTTTGAGAACGTACAGCGCTGCCATCACCGTGGGGTGCGACATAGTGGCGAATATCCTTTGGCTTCCTCTCCCTCCTCTCCGTCTATCGTCGTTGAGGCTTTCACGTCGAAACACCTCGTCGCTTTGATCCTCGCCTCGGGATCCTTGGGGCTCTTCTCGAACTCCACCAGCATCATCAGCGCCGAGGCCGATTCCTGAGGGTTGGTGCCCTGGGCAGCCTCGGCCACCACCACCACCACCTCCTCGGGCGTGGCCACCACGGCCTCGCTCAACCTGAACAGTAGCATGCAGAGGTAGTCGTCGAGCTTCTGGCCGATCAGGTCGGCGGCCTCGACCTTGCCCTGGGCCTCTTTCCCGACTTTCTGGTACTGGCCGTGCTCGACTCCAGTGCCACCTGCAACTGGGGGAAGACTCGGAGCCGAACAACCACGTTCTGGTCTCGCGCCTCTCCCCGAAAGTTGTATTCGTGCAGCAGCAGGAGTTTGGTCATCTGTCGGTCCTTCTTCGAGACGACCCCTACCTCAATGCCCTTGGCGCTCGGGTTGATGCCCTCGACTTCGGCTCCGACTCCTGCCACGTCCGTATCTCGCTTCTTGGGCAGCTCGGCCGCGGGAGTGAACATCGCTTATCAGTGTGTTAGTCTCTGCCGCTGTCGATGACGGTCGATCTGACATTGGCAGCGATGGCGGCGTCTGAGCCCGAACAAGCTGCGGATCGGAAAGATGTGGGCATCGTTTCAGCTGGATATGCTTGATCAGAGTGTCCTTGCGAGTAAACATTTGGGTGCAATATGGGCACCTGCGGGCACTGAGGTCCTCGGAGGGGATATTCACACGGTTGGCAATGATCGAGTGAACAGCAAACCTGTGGTTTTCCAACCCCTTCCGACCGTTGCATCCTTTTCCACATTCTGGGCACACATGAAGTCGGGAGGCATCGATCTCCCTTGCCTCCTGCGCCAAGTCGCTCTCAACTTCGTGTGAGAGGACCGCTCTGAGCTCGGCAACAGAGAGCATGTTTAGCCACTCCAGCCAGTCACGAGCGACACACGGCGAGTCGGACGGTGCTCGCTCCTTGTCAGCTGCTGGGATGCGAGCCCCAAACGCCCGAAGATCCGAAAGAAGTTGTCCTATTCGACAGGAGTGGTTGCGGCACCTGGAGTCCTCGAAAGAAAGCTTCCCGAATACTACTGATCGTATAACTATCGTGGGGTCGTAGTCTGGGGGTTCTGGTAGAAGTCATGGAGATATGACGTGCCGCCACCACTGAAGCCTACGATACAACAGGGTAGAGCTGACACTGAAGATGTTGGCTCGCCTACGAATATCCGAGTTGGAGACGCGATACATGTGAGCGGGGGACCGCAAACTATGTCGAAGTTTGCGGGTCTGCCATCTTTCCAACTTCTTCAGATCGGCTCGGGTCAGGAAAGCTACCTACAGCGCGTACAGCGCGATCGAACGAACAAGCGAACACCACAGCCGCACCTTCAGACGGATACTGAGGTTGCCCTTTAGAACACGTTGGGCAATACTGCCGTGCGCCTTATTCGCAGAGGGGATATGAGTCTTGATCTCGGGGGAGTGGAACCCGTGGCAGAGAGCAGGCAGCCGAGGTACTTAACCGTCGCTGTCGGGTGTAGGGCGCGGACCTGCATGTCTACGTGGGTCATGTTAATGCCAGTCTGCTGTTTCGCAATATGTTGTCGGAATTTCCTGCAACCTCTCCCCACCACGCTCACCATCACCTCGGTAACGAGGTGACAGCGTCGACGTCGTCGACGACTGTCAGCGCGATTCGGTCATCTACGAATTTGATCTGGGACGTGTCTAGAACTGATAACTCGGTAGCCGCAAAGTCCTCGGAATTCCTGAAAACCTGGAAGGAGGGGTCGTACTGAACCTGGACGCCCATGAACCCCGCTGCTAAGGTTTGGTCCCCGATATCTTTGGTAATCATGTCATAGATCGCGATGAATAGCCCAGGACCCTCCACACTACCTTGCCGAACCCCCTTCCGAATAAGAAGTCGACGACATGGACGATTCGTACGGGTATCCCTAAGAATATAGCAGGTTCCGTTATATAGCTCCTGGTCAGTCAAGCGAGTTTGTCGAGAAAAAAGCGAGTTTCTCTAGGGAGGCCCATACCTGCTGCCGATCAGGCAACTCAAACGCCTTCTCCAAGTCAATCAGTGCCGAGACGAGGATGACTGCTGGGTTCTGGACACGCCAAGGATTAGAACGAAAACGTCTGCCGATCTCGTCACCGAGAGCAATGACATCGCGAGTAGAAAGGCCGTGCAGCGCGCCAAACTGCGTGCTGGACAGCTTGCTAGGCGTCTAGCGCAGCTCTGGCGTAATGGTCACGTTTGTGAAGGCTTAACCCGCCTGTCCGATGAGGTTAATGGTTCTGTAGTGGTTCTCGGCGTTCAACCCGTCTCCTTTGGGCTTCCTCAGAGAAGCCGTTTCTCCGTCTTTGAACCTTTGGGGCGCCCTTCGATACGCTTGTGCAGCCTGGGAGACTCCGAGAAGGGGATCACCAATAATCTCCGCACTGGGCTTCCAAAGTTCGACGGCCGCACCTTCGGGGTCCAGTCGAGGGGCCTGAGAGGTGACGGGGTCTGTCCACTTGAGGACGGGGGCACTCTTGAAGTTAGGGGGCCTCTCCAAAGCCTGGGTCGCATCATTGACGTCATACTGGCCTATGAGGTCCCCATCGGAGGCATCAATGATCCCCTGGGGTCCGCCAGCGTCGTCCATGGGCATCTCTGTGGCCTCGAAAATGGAGCACGGCGCCTCCGTGCGGACCTGCTGGTCCTCTTCGTCATCGAAGCATGGGTCACCCGTCGCTGGGTTGCGGACTGTCAGCATCGGCGTCCTAGGCTTGGGCGCGAGCCTCTTGGTGATGGAGTAGCAACGTCGAATGTCGTGCACTGCATCCGCTCTCTCTGCGTCGGCTACCAGGGCCGCAACATGCTGTCGCTTCTCCGAACGGACAGCTCTCTTCGCAACTTTAGCCGCGCGGTGATACTCAGAAACTGTACAACCAGGATTGTTGGTTCGCCACCCTAGAAAGCATTCGTTGAAAGTGCTGCTTACGTCTAATCAGCTGAAGAGTATCCTCGGTCAACTTCTGCTTCTTAGCTGTAGTGGTGTTGCCAACACAGATGGAACACGCAGCATCCACCACCGCACCTTCAAGGGCATTGTAGTATGCGGATGGGTGAGGGAATAGACCTGGACCGCATTCCGGACGCCAGTCGCCTCGGATTTGGCGATTCTGCAGCTCACCGCGCAGCCTGTCTCGGAAGCCTTGGACTCTTGCAGGTACCGTATCTTCGTATAATGCAGTTCGTAAATCACGAAGGAGTAAATCACGATTCCATCTAGGCAATAGTGACGACGGAATCTTGGAGGGGTCGATGATCACGGTAGCCCCCAAGACTCACTGGAAGTGAAAGTAATACTTTGGCACCATATCCAGATCCACCCCGCAGCCGTGTACAAATGGAGTCAACCTGGTTCCACGTA